GGTTTGGGTTTAGGGGTTTAGGGGTAGGGTTTGGGGCTTAGGGGTAGGGTTTAGGGGTTTAGGGTTTGGGGTTTGGGGTTTAGGGAACAGGGGGCGTAGGGTGTTGCTATCACTTCGGAGTTTCATCAGACCCCAAACTATTCAAAAAACAATGCAACCCCTGAGCTGCAAAGCCTGAACACCCTGACGAGCCTGAACCCCGAACCAAAAACAGCTGAACCTTGAACCCCATACCAGCCCAAACCAGCCTTTGCAGACTAAATAACCCAAACTGGAACCTGGATGAAACCTCGTATAGTCCCTTATATCAACCTCATAATTCCAACCCAAACCTTGTGAAGTGAGACGACGACCGGTTCAGGAGCTCAGCTTCACGACAGATCCTGGAGCGCGACCAAGAGGGTATATCCCCGGTCGAGCCGGTATAACGTTGAGGGTTTAGGAGTTTAGGGTTTTGAGTTTGGGGTTTCGGGTTTAAGGTTCAGGGGCAAGGCCTAGGGTTTCGGGGGCTGGAGGTTGAGAGCCAATTAGCAGTCCATAAAGGTTCTATCAGGCTCATGATCGAGTTTAGGGACTCGGCTGTAGCGAAAAGTTGCATGTTGTGGGTCTGCGGAGCTATCACTAGGAGTTGGTGCGTTTTTGTGTTCAAGGTCTAGACGGCAAGCGATTTTAGCCTGTTGTTGGGAGGGTTGAGCGCTCTCCCCGAGCGCAGGTCCTTTGAGGGATATGTGATGTGATCTCCATCAGCAACTTAAGTATGATGGCTAAGCGTATATCTAATTTGATAGCTCCACAAAAACCTATAGCAAGCTCTCAAACCCTCTTCCAACCAAAAAACCGATAGCAAGCTCTCAAACCCTCTTCCAACCCTATCAAATCCTGTCTGAACCCCAAAAACCCTATTCGAAGCCCTCTACACCCATGATTCCCTAAATCCTACACCCTAAACCCTAAACCCTGAACGCTAAACCCCTAAACCCTCTACACCCGTGATGAAAAGAGACTTGAAAAGCCGCCCGGCCTGGACGACCTCCCCGCAGGGACTCTTCGAAGGAGGCCGGGGTTTCTCCATCCTCGAACTGTGAAGAGACAGGCTTTAGCGTTTAGGTTTAGGGTTCAGGCTATAGGGTTTAGGGGTTCAGGGTTTAGGAGGGTTTAGGGTTTAGGAGGGTTTAGGGTTCAGGGTTTAGGGTTCAGGGTTCAGGGTTTAGGGTGCAGAGTTTTGTGTTCATGCAGGGTTTAGGCTTTAGGTTTAGGGCTCGGGGTTTAGGGTTTAGGGTTTAGGGTTTGGGGTTCAGGGTTCAGGGTTTCAGGGTTCCTGTAAGGACGCCTTTGAAGCTTAGGGCTTAGGGTTTAAGGTTCAGGGTTCAGGGTTTAGGGTTCCTGTGAGGCCTCCTTTGAGGCTGCGGCTTTGTTTGCTGAGGACCTTTTTCCACTTTGGGGTTTATAGGGTTAGGGACTAGGGTCACTAAAACAGACCCTGCAAGGGCTACTAGAAGGAGGCAGTAGGGGTTTGAGGGTTTAGGGGTTTAGGGGTTTAGGGTGCGGGAATCTCGAGCAAAACCCCCAACGAGAGGTTTGGTTTTGGGGGAACTTTTTCCGAATTTCCGCTGTTACTGAACATACTGAAAGCCTTTCGGAAATAGGCTCTTGGTACTTTCGTGCTGGTGTTGGTAGGGTTTTACCGGGTCTTGGGACTTCTACTGCTCTGAGATTTGGGGTAAGTCCCTCTAGCCGTGCAAATACCACTCATGACAAGAGGGGCCTCAACAAGCAACGAGCTTCCAAACGGGGTTCAGGGTTTAGGGTACCCCGCATCATGAGCGACATTGGGTCGAAACCGAATCGGAACATTCGAGCACCTCTTGCCTGGCTTGTACCGTACTTCGCAAGCCAAGATCAAGAGAGATCGAAATGAACCCTCAACCGGGTACTGCGTCCAAAACACAGAGCAGATCGTGCACATTACAACCAAATCGCTCGCTCTAGGATGTTCTTGGTGCGCTATGCGGATCCTCGCCGAGCTCACAGAAAAGCTGGCTAGAGGGCCTAAAGCCCGACGCCCTGCATCCCAAAACCCCATTATGGTAGCCCTTAGAGGCACCCTCAAAGGAACCCTAAACCCTAAACCCTAAACCGGGCAGAGCTTCTTGTGAGTCTCGTCGCACTTGCCAAGGTCGGACGATCTGGTCACGAAAGCTCCCTTCAGGATGCAAGATTCGAATTTCAAGGAGCTTGGGATTTCAGGAGAATGGGCGTTTTCGGGTTTTGGTGTAGGGTTTCGGGTTTAGGGT